TTTATAAATACAAATTATGTTGTACAATTTCTAATCCACATACCTTTGACATTTTCTACACCTGACCAGTGGGAAATCATGCAAAAAGTCACCCCATTTTTCCAGCTTTAGCAGACTTTTTTTTATTAGTGCACTCAAATTGAAACCATGTAATAGTACCACTTTTGTACCATAAACCATATTTATACTATGGACTAAATTTGTTCCAACAGCTGTGTCAGATTTCACTTTCATCTACTCACTTCAGCTTTCAATTATGTCAAAAAATTTACAATATTATCTAAATAAACGTCAGAAAATCCAATAATTTGTTAACTATTTTTAGTGCATGAGAGTGAATGTTATAATGTCCATGCCACATGGCAGTAATTAATTGGATTGTGATTTTTCGTAACATTGGTGTTGGCGTCGTATAATATAACATTGTAAAACTCTCTCCAATGCTTCACTTTCCTTCCGTCATTTGTATGCGTACATGTATTTATTTTCTAGAAAAAAAAATTTATAAAGCAACTTATAAAAGATTAACCAGATTCATTTGATAAAACATATTGAGACTCCACCTATGAGATTTTAATTATTTAATTACGTTTCAAAAATACTTTCATCTTTAGAAAACTAAATAAGTAATAAAAGTAAGAAAATCAAATTTTTACGGTAAAAAAATATTAAGTAAATACAATGTAGTCTAACTTTGAAAATATAAAAATCGTGTTATTTGTATGTATCAAATAATACAAATTTGACACGTAGTTTAATTTTTAAAATATAAAAATTATAATTACATTCAATATAATTTTTATGTATATGTATCAAGTAAATACAAATTTTTAAAATATAAAAAATGTAAGTACATTATTTTTATATATATGTATCAAGTAAATACAAATGTTTTAATTTTTATATTATGTATCAAGTAAATACAAATTTTTACACAGGGAACGTAGTTAATTTTTTAATTATAAAAATTGTAATTAGGTTATTTTTATGTATATGTATCAAGTAAATACAAAATGGTTTAATATTTATATTATGTAAAGTAAATATAAATTTTTACACGGTAATGTAATTGTAATTACATTCAATGTTATTTTTATGTATATGTAACACGTAAATACAAAATGGTTTAATTTTTAAAATTTAAAAATCGTGTTTACATTCAGTGTTATTTTTATGTATATGTATCAAGTAAATACAAAATGGTTTAACTTTTAAAATATAAAAATTGTATTGTTTTTATGTATCAAATAAATACAACATGGTTTAATTTTTAAAATATAAAAATCGTGTTAGTTGTATGTATCAAATAAATACAAATTTGACACGTTTAATGTCGAATACATTGTTTACTTTCAAACAGTGGGCTTCACAGTAGTCATTACACGTCACAAAAAATTATATCATGACAGAGTCCATTGGAGATAAAAATGTGAAGACATTGTCTTCAACGATGACACATCATTCATTTTTTTTCCTTTCAACAGTAGCATTAGAGATGCTCTAAAGCATATGACATCCTCTTGCAAGTTGGCAAACAGTCACCTTTTATAGTTTTTACATGGGAATTTTGTATTTATGTCTTGTAAAATTGTAAATGATCATATAGTACAAATGTACAATTGACATGTATGGAGTTATATAAGGACTTAGAAATTTGTCTCAGGGAGCCCACAAACTTTCAACATGTTACTCAATTCACAGGTAAATTGAGACTGATTAAAAGGGTGTTTAATTATAGAAATGAATTTCAAAATCCACAAAATAAAAGTAATTCAAAACATAAATATGCTTTAGTTAAGATACCCTCATATACATAAGGATAAAATACAAAGGGCCTCTTTGTATGTGTCGAAATCAAGAATAGACCTACTAATTGAGATACACTGTACTATGCCAACATTATTTGGTTTAGTTATATCTTCAAGAACCTCAAGTTGATTGCAAAAAGATAAGAAAAAAAGGGCCACATTTTCATGCATGTTACAGAAGAACAATGAAATTAAAATTTCTTCAAAATATGCTTTATAACACCAATTGAGAGCTTTTAAGTTCTTGGAATGTGCTTGTAAGTTGTTTTTCTTNTTTTTATTCGAAGCTCGTATATTTTCTAATCGGGTATGATATATTAAATAGTTGTTAGGCATCCGTCGACCGGCTAAAGGGCTTTTTTTGAAAAAATCAGTACATAGATTTTATTTCCAATCACAAAACTATTATCACTATATGTAATCATAAGCTTTAATCTCATCCTATACTATGATGGTGATCACTATTTTTCCCTTTTTAGACAGGTTATAAGTTAAGGATAACTATGAATAAACACTTTCTTTATACACTTGCAGAAAGAATCTAACAGGGAATATGTTAGAGCAAAATATGAAAAGGTCATTTTTTTTTCTAGAACACAAGCCTTTTTCCATTGGGCCATGATTTTCATAGTGACAATGATAGATAAGGTACTTATGCTGAAATTTAAAAAGACTTGCAAAATAATTGAAATAAATTAGAAGGTTTCACCATAACTTGTGTGCAGGGGTTACTGTATGGTATTTATTTCAAACTGACGTAGGCCTATTATTATTGACTTGACATGCTTTTGTTTCAAAAATAGCAAAGTTCACATCACCAATTGGGCCATTTCTCAATAAGTTGGGCCCAATGAGTAAATGGGCCTTCCTCCCAATTGGAGTCTAATATAGAGTAATTATTTGCCGTTCTCACTATTTGCGTCCACCATCTTTATTGTTATTTCAAAAAATGTCGCAAGCTAAATCAGTGAGAAAATTATTGCAATTACCTACAAATTCATTTTTATGTGTATAGTTTTTTATTTTGTTACAAGTATGCTAGTATTTTTCCGTTTAAGAATGGTTTGATTGTGGTTTATTTCTTATATTAGTGTCTAAATTGCATTCTTTTTTAGTTTATGACTCATTTTTGTATGATTTGATTTTGAATATAGTATTTTTGCAAAAAAAAAAAATAATAATAAAAATTAAAAAGTGTAGTAAATGTTCAAAATGGATCTAAATCAATCCCACTAATTACTCTATTGTTACTATTTAAATATCGGTATGTGCCGGTATTAACGGTAATACTGAATACATGTGGTTCAACTGTTATGGCTACCTTCTAACTAGCGTTTCAACCAAATTACCAGTTTATACCTACTTCATAGTTGAAATACCGGTTTTATCGAACAATACTAATCAAAATACTGGTTAAAATACCGAGTATACTGGTTTTAAAATATATATATATATACACACATTTTTATAACATACTTTCATTAATTTCTTTATATAAATAGAAAGTTCTACTCTTAATTTTAATATATTTACGTTGTCATCAGATTTTATTTAATTTGAACATTTATTATAGTTAGTTTTATACATTATTTATATCATAATACTACATAAATTTATTATTTATTAAAATCGATAAAATAGACAGTAAAACCAGTTAAACCGTTTGAACCGTGTACCGTTAGTTCGTCCGATATGATCACCGGTACAGTATTTAAAACATTACATCTACTTACCAAACAACAACATACAGACAACATAAGAAGCAATGTGAGGAAGAAACTGAAAGAAGAAGAAACAACAAAGAGTGCAAGTAGAGAAGAGAACGCGAAAGTAATCCAGTTTCCTTCCCAAACTACATTTCAATTAGCAATAGAAGACCCATAAAAGAATATGAAAACAGAACCAATGTTGAAATTAAGCAATGACCACATTGCATTATTGTTAGCTATTTTACCAATGGAATTTTGCAGGTGTCAAATTACATGTTCTAAAATGGTCAACAACTGATTATGGTACAATTATGTGGCCAATACATACTAAATGACTTGTAAACGCTGCACATCACAAATAATGTGGTTTTCCCAAATCCAAACTCTAATTTCCAAAACAAGCTAATGAAAAGAAATTGAATTCAAGAGAACTATACACCACCTCGAACCAGTGTGTTGTGCAAATTTCGGAATTTTGTACCCTTTTGCGCAATCTGAAAACATTAAATGGTCACCGAACATTATCTACATCATCTTTGTAAGTTGAACCTATCAAAATTTTTGCTCTTCTCTTACAGAAGATGCTCGTAATCAATTTGCACTGTAACTCCGAATAAATCCTTTTGCGTGTTGGCTTTCCATTTCAAGGGTCATCAAAGATTTTTGTCGATGATATCTGTTTGTCTTTGAAGAGAGTGCTGATAAGGAAGAAAAAGTGGAAAAAAAAAACAATGAACAAATGAAAAAAAGCAATAAATAAGTGGGAAAACAGACTAAATCCTTGCAATTACTTAAAGTGAGTGAAAATATGACGAAAAAAAAAAAGAGATGCTTACCTATAAGTTCATGAGGTAGACCAAAGCCATAATCATTGTGCCTCCTCTTGCAGAAATAGTATAATCCCAGCAATAGCAAAAATAAAATAACCATGCAAGATAGGCCTATTCCAATTTTAGCCAGAGTAGATAACCCGTTTTTCCCCCAAAACAATGGACAATCGAGCAAAGAAGGCACGCCACACAATCTTTTATTGCGAGAAAGGCTCTCGATCAAGTTCAGTTAGTTAGAAATGTGAAGATATGAGCAGATGGTAATAAGAATAAAAATGATTCATTAGATGAGAAGACATATAACCCTACAAATAATTATTTTACTTCAGTAGCTGTGTAATAATATAAGCTTTTTTTTTTTTTAAGTTTTTATAAAGCATAATACGACTTACTTGATAGATAACCATAGAGCAAAACACGACTTACTCTATGGCTCCACCATGTACCCCAATTGAATAAATTTCCTCTGGAACTTGTCCTTCCAATGCATTATCATATTCAGTAACCTAAGAAATATAATCCAGGTGAGAAAAAGAGGAAAGAAAAAGGTTGATATATCAAATATTATGCTTGTGCACAAGGTACATAAGATTAAGCTTCCCGTGAGGATATAATAAGACCAAGCTCCAAAACTTACACAAGTTGCAAACTTGACGAGGTTAGACTATCTGGTATGAATCCAGTAAATTTGTTGTTCGACAAATCCCTGCATTAGCGAAGCATGAAATATTATGAAAATGGCGCGTGAGGATACAAGATATGAATAAAAAAAATAAATGCAAAATATTATTTGCTTATTCATGATCCTTTGTTTTCTACCACAACAATAACAACAACATCATACCCAGTATATTCTCATCCCAACATTCTCATCCCAACAGGTTGGGGTATGGGGGGTCAGTTGTACGCAGACCTTACCCTTGTAATTATACAAGGAGGCTGTTTCCGTAGCGACCCAAGGTGCATTGCGCCGTTTGATATATATTTTTTTTTCTAGAAACTTCACTAATAGAAGAAGCACTAGAATTTACTACCACATGAATATATAAACCACATGATAAACAGAATTGTCACGAGCCACATTTTGTTTTTCAATAACAACACATTCATTAAAACAAAATAACTCCAAATACAACAATGTCGAGCAATCAACCACAATGACCATCACAAAGTGAATAATGTTTTAACTAAATAGAGGGAAAAATAGGAGCAAGAGTATGTGAACTTACAGTTTCATAAGTGACTTTTGGCCCAATCCTGAGGGTATACTACCCTCTTAGAGAGTTGGAACTCAAGTTTCTGTACAAAAACAGATATTCATTCATCAATTACGAATTTCTTCTGGAAAGAAATTAAACAAAACTATCAACTAATCGTGATGAAATAAAAGTACTTCAAAAAATGAACTTCAGTTATGTATTGTAAGCAATAAAAATTGATTATGCAAGTATATTACAAATGTAAAGATGAAAATATACATACCAGTGATAAACTCATCAAAAAGCACAACATTCATAGACTTTGTTAACGGTTAAGAATAGTTGATAATTGATAGGTTGCTGCTCGTAGATCATAGCACATCTTTATTTTCCTATGATTGAAGTACAGACCATGAAGCAAAAATTTAAGTCTTATATATGTAGGTCATCATGACATAACCAAAATACTCCCCGAAAAACATATCCTTTTTCATTTTTCTTTTTTTACTTTGAGAAGACAATGAAATTGGATTCGAGTTTAAATTCATCTTTTCATCAAGTTAATTAGTATTACCATACTCGAGACTACCATTAATTAATAATTGTTACAAGTAACCTAAGCGAACGACATCTACGAACCAAAAGACAAATAAAAAAATTGACGTCGATACTTACAGGCTTACCAAGTTCGTCAAGAGGCCAATTTGGTCACTTATATAACCTTTCAGCCCTTGGCTCCCGAGATCTCTGTGGGAAAAAATTTATGCAGATTGCAGGTCAAATTAGATTATTTCTACAACAGCATATCAATACACTGTTGCACAGTCACATCATAATTCCTAACCGTGTCCAGCATGAATTCTCAATCAAAATACATAATGATATGAAAGTTTATGATGTTTCACTTTAATATTAACTTGAAAGTTCCGAGGTAGAAATCTTACGCATATTCTTCCAGCATTATTAGAGAAAACAAATCCTCCAATCATAAAATACCAATGTTTTGAAAATCGAACCCGTCATCGAACCGGTGAAACTACCGGTTCAATGGTTCACTGGTTAAATCAATGGTCGAACCGGTTTAATTAATATATAATTTTTTATTTATTTTATATGTATAGTATTTAATTGTATATATTTTTATTATTAATTTTATAGTGTATTTCAATAATCAATATCCTATTTCTAAATAATTGAACGTATACATGTGTGGAAACATAATATAAATAATTAGGAATGTATTTAAAAAAAGCATCCAAAAAATAACAGTACACTTAAAATAAAAAAAGCATCCAAAAATAATACTTAAAAAAAGCAACTTTTTCCACCTCAGTCCAAACGCGGGTTAATCATCTCCGCAATCTGTACTCTGCCCTCTTGTCTCTCACCAAAAGCCCCATTCTCTCTATTTATAAAATTAAAATCCCATTTTTCTGTCTCTCTTTGTAATGGAAATCGAAGCTCTTGGATTCCTCAAGATTTGGAAAAACGACGGAGTCAGTGCTGACGTCGGTCTCGGCGTGGATGACTTTCACAATCTTGCGTTCAGATCCGGCGAAATGTAAAATACACTCCCATTCCCATCCCTTTCATGACTCTCTCTAAAGCCACTAGCACCATCTGGCCAAATGTGTCCATCCTCTGCCCAGGTGTGTCCATCCTCTGGAATCTGAGTCAATGACTCAAGATCTGTGATAACCTTATCAATTCATCACCCGCCGCTTCATCGGACCTGTACTTTGGTAACTCCCAAAAGAGATACTCTAAGCCCTCAGTCAAGAAGAAACCTGGAGAAAAGATACTAAAGACCTTTTCGTACACGTGACGGTTCTGCTGCCAAATGTTCTTGAAGTTGCTGGCAACCCGCGAGCCCCACGCACTCATCAGCGCAGTGCGGTTCAGAATCCCGCATGGCAAACCGATGCATTCCTACAAAGTTGATAAGTATTATTTATTAAAAAAATTATGAAAATTAATGTCGGAATATTTTAGATCTATAAAGGAGCCGCCAACATGAATTATGTTAATGTTTAATTTTCTTAACACGTTTGTTTTTATTATAAAGTATCTTAACTTTTAATAATCACTTTGCAATTTTTATTTAGTCCTCAAAAGTGATTGTGAAAAAACAAAAGTACCCCTTAAATTCTTTTTATTTACAATCAAAATACCATATAAATATTGAAAATGTTTCATTTTGCACTAGAGGTTTGAGACAGAGGTGAACTTGTAGGGCAAAATGGAACATTTTCAATATTTAGATGTATTTTGATTGTAAATAAAAGGTATTTAAGGGGTACTTTTGTCTTTTCACAAGCACTTTTGAGGACTAAATAAAAATTGCAAGGTGATTATTAAAAGTTAATATACTTTATAATAAAAACAAACGTGTTAGAAAATTAAACACTAACATAATTCATGTTAGCGACTCTTTTATATAGATCTAAAATATTTCGACATTAATTTTCATATTTTTTTAATAAATAATACTTATCAACTTTGTATGGATGTATCGGGTTTGCCACGCGAGATTCTGAACCGCACCGCGTTGATGAAGGCGTGGGGCTCGCGGGTTGCCAGCAACTTCAAGAACATCTGGCAGTAGAACAGCCACGTGTACGAAAAGATCTTTAGTATATTTCCTCCAGGTTTCTTCGAGGGCTTAAAGTACCTCTTTTGAGAAAAGAACAGATCAAGTACCTCTTTTGAGAAAAGAACAGATCCGATCGACCGGCGGGTGATGAATTGGACAATAAGGTGTCACAGATGTTGAGTCAGATTCCAGACGTTGGTCAGAGGATGGACACACTTGGCGAGAGGATGGACACATTTGACCAGATGGTGCTAGTGGCTTTAGAGAGTCAGGAAAGAAATGGGAATGAGAGTGTATTTTATGATTGGAGGATTTGTCTTGACTCTCATCTCTGTGATCTATTATAATGCCGAAAGGGGCACAACAAGGTAAGATTCATACTTTGGGGGTGACAAGTAACACCTTCCCATGCATCCCATGTGGTAGGGGCATACAGATCGCCATTCCAACCCATTCTTTCTGGCACATGCAGAGATGCCTTTTAGTGCCCTCATTGCAACCACTGCAAAAACAAAAAGAAAATATCATTTTTTTTTTTATTCAAATTTGAAATCATCACAAAAATACATTTTGAAACTCTGTTTTCTAACTAGTGTGATAGATAACTCAACTTTCATTTACAAACATTTTTACGGATTTCCACCTACAGACTTCATTCCAATCCCCATATATCCCCTACTTTTTTTTCTCCCTTCACGATTTAAATAGCGTGAGTATACAAACTATATTTCGTACACACGATGTGTATATAAAATTATAAAGTTGCTTGTTTAAAAGGATGAAAATAAAGAACAATGATGATTTGGGATCATCATTTGTCACACACTACTAACTCACAAAATATGATTGAGTTGAGATAAAATTCCTTTGAAGCAGTAAATCCATATTTAATAATTAAAAAAAAAAAAAAAAAANTAAAAAAAAAAAAAAAAAAGATCTTGTGACAAAATAGTCAAAAAAAATTATCCTCCACTAAACCAGTGGACAGTGTTTTTCCATGGAAAAATTATTGCAGTAGTGAACTGTGATAATCATACCCCTCTTTTTCACAAAAGTGTGATGGGTCAGCTTTGAAAAGTTCAGGTGTCAATTACCAAAAACCTTCTTTTACTATATCACAACACAACCATCAAAATCAATCACAAAGTTGCGGAATCACAAATTAATAAGCCTAAGATTATCCATATTCTGTGTTTATAAATCAATAAATCACACTTTAATCCCTAATATTAAAAAGAATAAACAAATTAAAAATAAACAACTGTACCCTGATCAGGTGTGGTCCTGAGATCAACCGGCACAATGGCGTAATTTTCAAGCCCACAGAGAACCGGCGACCCGACCACCGGCACTAGCCTCACGCTCAAAATCGTGCTGCTCAGATTCCTCACCACATAGCTCAAATCGTAGGCTGCAAAACCTCCGACCTCCTTGAACACGTCAACCCTGCTCGCGTTCTTCCCGTTCACCACCACATCAAAAACCCTCTGCCCGGCCCTTGTCACGCTGACGTCAATCTCCGCGAAATGGAATATTAGCAGGTACTAGAGTCTAGGGTTTGCGAGAGAGAGGAGATGGATCGACCGAAGAGAGAGAAAACAAATCAGAAAAAATGAATAATGGAATAATGAAAAAGTGTGTTTACAATTTGTTGACTAGCCTTGTATACTAGTCATTAAATGGAAGGAAAATGTTTTACTACACCTAATAGCAACTTTACATTATAAATGCTACAACCCTTATGTATATGACTAGTGTATAGGCACGGTGGGATTTATTTCTCAAATAATTTTCTCTAAACTTTATTTTAAATATTTTTTTTTTAAAATTAGTTATTTGATTATAATAGAAAAAAAAAAGAGAAATACAAAGTATAAAAAAAATATGTTATTAAATATTTCTTTATACACAACATATTTTGTTTGTTAAAAGTTTAAGTATTTGATATTTTTTTATTAAATATTAGTCACCTTTCACGCATAAGATTCACGTTTTAGAAGCTTAAATACGAAACGTATAAAATTTATTAAATTGAATAAAATTGAACAAAATTGATTAAATTGATAAAATTCACGTTTTATCAAACTGAATCTTGTATCTTTATAACTACGAAATGTATGTCATAAAGAATCAAATAATATAATAATTAATTAAAAATTATTTAATATTGCCAAAAAAAATCATTCTAACCGTACGTGCAGTCTCATGTGTATGGTGCACTTGGTGCAATGCATATCGCCATCTTTACTTTCCATCTTGTTATTGCATCTTTTACACACAAGGTACCACCAATTATCAATAATCAAGTCGATTTTGGGACAACCTCATATGTCCATAGCCATTAAATAAAAACATTAAAATTTCATCATAACAACAACATGTGTATAACATTTATATAGAATGATTTTATAAACTAAAATTGGAATATATTTTTTGTATTATGAAATCATATTTTAGCATTTATACTGAAAAAAATAAAAATCTAAATCTAATATTTTATATACAAATGAAATTCACATTCATAACTGTAGTGGACTTAAATCTTAAATTGTTCTAACTTACGGAATTAGATTGTAGCATTTATATTGAAAAAATAAGAAACGTAATCTAATTTTTTTTGCAAATGAAATTTACTTTCCTAACTGTAGTGGACTTTCTTTTTTAGAATTTTAGTTTTATCAAATTACTTTCAATATGAGAAGAATCGTAATCTTATTTCTCTTTTTTTCAATTGAAATTTCAAATCTACTTTCTTAACTGTAGTAAACTTATTTTTTAGAATTTTATTTTTGTCAAACTACTATCAATATGATTTTCAATATCTTCATAACAAGGGATTGAACATAGACGAACAAGGGATTGACACTCTCGCTTAGACATCTAGTGGTTCGCTCCCAATAACTCTTCGTAACAAGGGATTGAACATAGACGAACAAACTCGAGCATACGACACAGGCCAATTATCCCAGTCCCAATAACTTTTTGTAACAAAGGACGGATCATCGACAAGCCCCGTATTTCAATCCAAAACCTATAGACTATTCAATTACGAAATCTTCTACCTCATGCGAGCCTAGGTCTACGACTTCTTCCCTTTCGGTTCTAAAAGTAGCTAATTGACTAGAAGGTGATTAATCAACTAATCATATGGAATTGACAAACCCTAACTCGACAAATTAACATTCAATCGTTTCCAATCGCAAGATCGAAGTGTCACTCTTCGATTATATCAATCAATCAAGCAAGATTACATCAATTCCTAATCAGATTAACTCACATAGCGTGAACAATTCAGACCCCGACAAATACAAATCAAACAAGAATAATCATCTCCTATCCCGAGCAATCAGAATTAGCTACGTAAATCAAATTCAACAAACATAATCATTCTACTCAAGTCAACCATTATTCATGAATTAAATAAGAGGAAGAAATACTTACAATCAATCCAAGTTCAAATGTTGAATTCGAATTACAAGCGTAATCCCTAACTAAGAAGAAAAAGAAGAAAAATGGAAAATAAGGGTGAAGAAAGGAAGAAAAACGATGAAGAAGATGAGAGGAAAAGAAGGGGAAGAGAGGAGTTTGGTCGTGCTTTCTCGGGACCTAGGGTTTGCACCCTGGTTGAGTGTCCATTTTACTGAAGAGCCCGATGCATATATATATATAAGAGCAGGTGGCCACGGCGTGAGGGTCTTGGTGCAGCGCGAAGGGACAGGCGCTGCGGCGCGGGGCACTGTCGTGGCGGGTTGCCGCGGCGCGGCGCTGGCCTGGGGCTGGTGGCCTGCTTGTACTACTTCGCGTCTCGAGCCCATTCGAGCTCGTTTGATATTGGAATTTGATTCCGCTTTTTCCAATGTGTCGCCAATGAAACGCTCTATTTAATCATGTTCACTCTGTCATTTTCGCTTGAAATCCGGTTCTCCTGAGGCTTTCAACCTGCACACCAAAAATGAAAGAAAACAAGAAAAATACACAGAAAACACAGAAAATGACCAACTGAAGGAAATCACACAACAAAACACAAAACACACTAAAAGCGAAAGAAAATACCTAAGATGGGGGCAAAAGAAAAGTGAAACAAATACGAAAAACGCAACAAAAATGGGACAAACACTTATGGACCAAAAATGATAAAATTTACCTTATGGACTTGACTGATAAATAAGTTTAAAATTAGTTTTTTTGTGATTATGAACAAAAAATGAACAAATAAAAAAAAGAGATTTCATATGTTTAATTGTATTTTATTATTGGGAAACAAAAAGAACGTTTGAAATAAACTAATAGCTTTTTATTTTCCGAAACGATAGACGTACTATATTAATAAAAACTACACAAAGTGCGAAAAAAAAAAGCAACCAAAAGCTGAATAGTACAAACAAAGACTAGAAAACTAGGAGGCAGATCCAGAGATCGCCTAGAGCCGACCCCAACCCCAACAGGGTAATACTCGGGAAACACACAAAAAACACAACCACACTAAACCAACTACACAAACAAAACTAAACAAGACCCCAACAGAGTAATACCGGAATGTCCGATAGATACAAAATTAGGCCCGATTTTGTTTTCAAACTAACCCAATGTTTACATTTTAAATTTTTGAAAAAATAAAGATATCACATAGGCGGGATTATTCAAATTTTGGCAAAAAAGATTACTCAATTTAGTAAATATTTTAGGCGAGAAACCAAATGTTTTTTTATTGATTTTTAGTTACTATATATAGTAAATATCATTGTCTCTTTATATCTTAATAGATAGATAATATTTTAACATATATATTTATTTTTTGTATTGAAAAAAATAATAATTTTGCATTTTTTGTTCATCATAATACTCAACTATTATTTTATTCGAAAATTTATTGTCGTATAATGTCGTTATTATTTATAATGATGTAATTAATTTAAAAATATATAAGCAAACTTAATGTTTGTTAAGAATATGTGATTCTATGTAAGTTAAGATAAAATGAAATGTATCAAAAATAATATTTTTCTTTAAATATTTGAATAAATTTGAAATTCAAATTACAAATCAACCGTTAATTTTTCAAAGAATTTAAAAAAAAAGTTACCAATTGTAGTAAAATCTAAATTTTTAGGCAGAATTTTACTTTATACTTAAAGTTGCTTATTGTAATAGATATAGATAATGACAATAAACATGAAAATAAATAAATATTTTCAATTATGGATATTATCTTTCCTATTACTCCAAGGACTTCACACGTGCATAATTTCATTCAATCAAAACATTTCGGTCTTCTTGTTCAAGATGCGTTTTGACGCAACAAACACGCTGAAAATCTGGGTACACATGAATAGAACGCGTCGCGAAAAATTGGGCGTCTTCCTTACGTGAACAGCGCGCTGTCACCTTCGTACAACCATGTCCGGCGACCTTTCGATTTTCGGAAGTTTTTCATCAGCCGCGGCCATAGCCACCAACTCACACGTGAATATTTTGTTGGGAAAAAATTCACGTGTTCCTTGTTAAAAATTTTGAAAATCAGATGGGCTACGCGCATCCAAAATTTCCTTATGAAATTCCAGCCATATTCCTTCACCCTGTCACCTTACGTCCGACAATGGAAGAACACGCCTGGAAAAAATACAGCGCTCAGAAACTCCGGTCATCTTCCTGTAACGACGATGTCAATTTCCTCGATGATTTTCATCTATCCCGAAATTTTAGCAAAATGTACATTAGCGATGAGCCGAACTATGGCCTGGAATTCATAAATGGCGTACAATCTTGTAATCGAGCTTTGAATGATGCCTCTCTTCTAAATCTCTAGAATTATGGAGCGTTTGATCATTATAGGAAGTCCTTTACGGATTCTAATAATCTCCCTGTTCTTAGAGAAACTTCTATGAATCTCGGCTCATCTATGGTGGAAATGCAGAACGACCCTAGATGTGCTAATTTATTGGGATTCCCCTGTTCCCCTAGTCGGGCCGAAAGACCTTACAATCGGCCCGAATTTTGTAGCTCGCAGTTGAGTCCTCGATTTTACAGAGCCAACGGGAATGGAAATTTCCAGTGGTAACTCTGTGGATGCTCATTACCTTCTCTCTTTCTGCATCTTCATATTATATTCCCAAAAATAATAATAATAATAATAATAATAATAATAATAATAATAATAATAATAATAATAAGAAGAAGAAAAAAAAATAGAAGAAGAGAAAAGGAAAAGTTAAAATTTATAAATTACATAGTGTTGAAAGATCTTGGCGTGTGATATTTTCCAACAAATGTGTTGATTGTTTCCTTTAAATTATTGGATTTAAGTTTTTTTTCAAAAAAATTCAAAAGAATATTTAAGAGGGATATTACCAAGTTTTTCAAAAAACCTTACTAATTTAGTAATTATGAAATTTTAAGCGGGAATTCTATAGATTTTTTAGTTACTATTTTAAGTTTTTTTGGGTTGTCTCTTTATATATTAATAGATTACAACTCATATTCTAATACCCCCCGCAAGATCGACATGGGTTTCCTTCATGTTGAGCTTGGATGTCAAATGGTTGAAAATCTGGTTGGAAACTGCTTTTGTAAATAGATCTGCCACTTGATCTTTGCTTGAAACATGTTGGAGTTTGATGATCTCAGCTGCAATCTTTCCTCTAATGAGATGGCAGTTGTTTGTACTATTTTTGTTACGTTTTTCGTTATTGTTTTGTAATTCTTTTTCCCTGTTTTAAGTCTTTTTGTTAGTTTTTAGTTAGTTTTGTGTTTTATTATGTATTTTGTTCCATTTTGGTTTTCTTTGTGTTTTTCGTGTGTTTTTCCGGTTTTTCTTCGTTTTTGGTGTGCAGTTCGAAAGTCTCGTGAGGAGTCGATTATACACCGGGCAATCATGGTGGACTTATTGGCTACACATAGGAAAAACCGGAATTTGATTTCGAGTTCGGATGAATCCGGACGGAACCAAAATGCGAAGCCGCGCAAGTTACCGACCCTTTTAAAAGTTGGAAATTCCACAAAATTTGTATCCTGGGCAAAAGTGTGGTTTTAAAGCATCATTGGATAGAGGGGTTTGTTAGCTACGCGTAGGAAAAAACGGAACTCAATTCCGAGTTCGGACGAACCAAAACGAGCCAAAAACGTAAAGCCGCGCAGTGCAGTCGCGAGAAGGCCGCGAGTGGCAACGATTTTTCTCACTTTTCTTCATTTTTCTTCTTTTTTTTTCTCCTTGGTAGATGATGGTTGTTGATGATAGTGTTGACAATGGTTGATAGTGTTGATATTGGTATGCTACTTATCATCTATAAATACCCACTTCATTCATCATCCAAACCATCTCCTAAAAATCCAAATTAATCACAATCCTTTAATCCTTCCATTACTTTCACTTAGTGTGTTTCTAGATTAGTTCTTGTGTTGAATTTTGGAGGTGTTCTCCAAGGCTTGTACTTGTTCCGGTTTGGCGTGTATTTATTCTCAGTTTGGCGTTTGTATCAACTTTATTCATCAAATTGGATTACATGTAAGTTTTCTTTCTTGTCATTATAATTTGCAATTAATCTTATGTTGAGTTTATTTTTGATATGAATAGCTAAATCATTAGCTAGGGGTAGGGAATAATTATTCCGGTTTAAGCTCGTTTATACGCATGTTGATAATTCCATCTTGACGAGTTGTTTTAATCATGAATTAATAAATTAAACTTGGTAAATCTTTATAACCTAAGAGTGACACTTAGGTTAATGATATAATCAAGGAGTGACACTTTGATTTGTGCTTGATATTGATTTATTAAGTTAAAGTTTGTTAATTTTGTGAATTACAATTTGTAGAACCGAGAGGGGAGGAGTTGTAAAAAAAATAATCTATTTCATAATCGAAAGGGGAGAAATTGACAGAACTTGGCTCGTTTAGAATAGACATGTTCGGAGACGTATTGTCTATGTGTTAATTGTTTCGTTAATTTGCTCGTTTATGTTTTTCCATATATTACGAGAGTTAGTATGGTTGAACTGCTAAATGAGTTAGTTAGTTGAACTACTTAACCGAGTTATTGATTGTCGTTGAATGAGTGTAAAACCGGAAGTGATTTATTCCCGATTCCCTAGCTTCTTTATTATTGTCTTGTTTATATTTTTAGGTAGATTATTATTGTTATTTCTTAGTTGATATTTTAGTTAATTATTATTCAATCCATTTTGATTAGAGTGTTTAGGATTTATTTTCATTATTTTCCGTAATCGATGTATAAGTTAATCGACATCAATATTAAATTCCGAACAGTCTTCCTCGAGAGATCGACCCGGGAAACAAATCATTTGATTCGGTGCTCGGTAAAAAGAAAATAATTTGTTAAGTGTGGGGTCCAAGTTGAATATGTTTTGTTTTTTCATGAAATATTGGGTTGTTTGCAATGGCCATAGCTGAAATACTATCTGAAAAGACTAAAACAAGAGAAGAATGAGAAATGTGTAGATCAGAGAATAGATACAAAAGCCATTGCACCTCACATGAAGTACTAGCTAAAGTCCTGTATTCTGCTTCTGCACTAGATCTAATCACTGTGTTCTGTTTCTCAGATTTCCAAGAAATTAATGAATCTCCTAAGAAAACTGAATATCTTGTTATACTCTTTCTTGTATCCAAACAGCTAGCCCAATCGTTGTCACTATATGTTGTTAATTGTAAAGAGGAGGTTCTAGGGAAAAGCATACTTTTACCCATAGTGGTTTTGACATACCTTAGGACTCTGTGAACAGCAGCAAGATGTTGTGTTGTTGGTTGAGACATAAATTGGCTAACTGCTTGAACAGTGTAGCTTAAGTCTGGCCTAGAAATTGTCAGATATAAAAGCCTACCAACAAGTCTTCGATATTCAGTAGGATCAGTTAACTCAGTGGCATCAGAATGAGCAGACAATTTTAACGATGAACTCATTGGTGTGACAGCAGATTTACATGCAAGAAAGCCAGTATCATGAAGGATGTCTAAAGCATATTTCCTTTGACACATATTGATGCCCTGTGAAGAGTGGGCAAACTCTAGGCCCAATATATATTTCAGAGTGCCTAGATCTTTTATAGTTAAACAATCATGTAAATGATCCTTTATCATTGTTATTTCAATCATGTTGTTGCCACATAGTATTATGTCATCAACATAAATTAATAGGGCTAGAAAAACAAAAGTAAGTAGTCAGCCACTGATTGTTTGAAACCATAAGTGAGCGAGCAAGTGGTTAGTTTTTGAAATCATTGCCTAGAGGCTTGTTTCAAGCCATATAAGTTTTTGGTTAGTTTGCAAACCAAGTTATCAGAGGATGTGGAATATCCAAGGGGTGGTTTCATGTAAACCTCTTCATCTAGATCACCATGAAGGAAGGCATTGTTGACATCTAGTTGATGAATGTGCCATGATTTTATAGATGCAAGAGCAATTAAAAACCTCACAGTTGTAATTTTGGCAACATGTGAAAAGTTTCAAAATAGTCAATGCCTTCTTCTTGAGTGTATCTTTTGGCCACTAACCTAGCCTTATACCTCTCAATTAACCCATCAGATTTGTACTTTATTTTAAAAACCACTTACATCTTATGCAATGTTTTTCACTAGGTAAAGTTGTCAGTTCCCAAGTATTAGTTTGTTCTACTGCATCTAATTCTTTTTGCATGGCAGCTACCCATAGAGGGTCTTTAGCAGCCTCTGAATAATTTTTGGGTTCTTTGTGAATAGAAATAGATGCAGTAAAACGAGAATGATTTTTAGACAACTGTTTAGTAGATAAAAAAGATGTATTAGGATGTTTTACAGATGTTTCAAGGGTGCAGAGAAATGTATTTGAGGAGTGAATTGGGTTAGAAGACAAATTTGGGAGAGAATGACTGTAAATATCAAGATATGACGGAGGTTTTGTAGGTCTGGTTGACCTTCTTCTTTGAGGTGTTTGATTTTGTGGAGAAGAAGTAGGTTCAGAATGATTCTGAGTTGGTGAGAAAGTAGTTTGATGTGATGGAGGAAATGGGTTTGGGATATGTGTGGCTGTATGTGGGATAGTAATCTGTTGGTTTTAGAGCATGCTTGAATACAAAATTTCTCAAAAAAATCCAAACATTTTTAACTCAACCACGTTTTTTAACTCAACCTCACTATTATCAATATTATCAATATAATTAAATAATATCAATCAACCATTTTTACACACCACCTTACCTTAATTCACTATTCATCCACTCACATAATTTTAACTAACCATCACTTCAAATCTTCTATCCACTATTTTACATCAAATCAACTTTAATTATTTTATTTTAAATATTATTCTAATATGCCCACTAACAACTAACCATACCAACTTTTTCAAAATTAACCAAACCAAACAAAAAAATTCATAACAAAATCAAATTTTTTTATATCCAATTAGGAATTGTTTTGTGAATTTTCAGTATATGTGAAAGGAGGAGGAGAGGGAAATAAGTTCTCAGGAATTTGAGCAGAAGTCTTAAAAGGGGAATACATCCTCATAAAAATGCACATTCCTTGAAATTAATATTTTCTTATTATCAAGATTACAAAGTTTATACCCTATAACCAATGGGATACTTAAGAAGAATGCACTTAAAGGCTCTATTTTCAAATTTTGATTTGTTGGCAGTAAGAGTAGAGGCATAACAAAGACATCCAATCACTCTGAGGTGTTCATATGATGGGTTCTTTTTATAAAGCATTTCAAAAGGTGTCTTGTTTTGCAAAACAAGGGTAGGGACTCTATTTATCAAATGTATAGCAGCTAAAACACAATCAATCCAGAAGCATATAGGTAAATAAGCATGAAATAAGATTGCTCCAGCAACTTGTAACAAATGTTGGTGTTTTCTTTCTACCCTACCATTTTGTTGAGGTGTCTCAACACAACTGGTTTGGTGGATAATACCATTTTTAGTATCGAAATCATTTAAAAGGAATTCTGTACCATTGTCAGTCCTCATTATTTTTATTTTCTTCTCAAATTGAGACAAAACCATGTTGTAAAAATGGAATAAGGACTGTTTGGTATCAGATATAAGTTTCAAAGGATAGATCCAAGTAACTCTACAGAAATCATCCACAATTGTTAAAAAATATCTATAACCATCATGTGAGGCAAAAGAGAAAGGCTCCCAAACATCACAGTGAACCAAATCAAATGGTGCAGAAGTAGTAGAATTGCTAATAGGAAAAGATAATTTTCTTTGTCTTGCAAAATGACATATATCACATGGGATAGAAGACATGTTTGTGCAACCATGTAGTAGAGTTTACAATACTTGATGATGTAGCTGTTACAGGTAAAGTGAAAGGTACATGTAAATTTTCAGCATTTACATGAGTTGAACTATTTCCAACATTTACATGATTTGAGTTATGTTCAGGAGCAATAGGCAAGTGGTATAGACCATTTTTCAAATCAGCAGAACCAATCATTCTGTTGTTGGTTAGATCCTATAGAATGCAATAAGATGGTGCAAAGTTGAACATTCATTTGTTTTAGGATACCAACTTGGATTCAGAAACCAGATTAAACTTGAAGTGAGGCACATAAAGAGCATCATGAAGATGAATAGAGTTATTAAGTATAACAGTGCCTTTATAGATTGCATGTGTCTTGTTACCATTTGGTAAATTTATGTGGATGTGAACAGAAGCAGGTTGAGTATGAAAGAAAGACAAATGACGATTTCAATGGGAATCGCAAAACCCATGTATATGGGATTAGCCATTCCCTATCTAATGGATGGTTTTCTTATTCCCACATGTTTAGGAATCGATTTTTCAAAAAATAAAATTACAAATAATAATAATAAATAAATATATAATATATGTTATATTATTATGATTAAATTATATTAAATAAAGTCGTTTTAAAAAATAAATTTCAAATAAAAAATAAAAAAAATTATTTTTATTTATTAGTCATATTTTAATTAGATATATTAAATACATATATAAAAATAAAACTCACAAAAAATGCATTTATAAATAGTTTAGAAAAATCTTATTTTATTTTATTTAACCATATATATCATATATTTATTCATAAATTGAATTATATTATAAAAAAGTATATTTGACCACATATGATTATAGAGATTTATGTAATGATATATTAATTTGTACTAGTTAATATGTATATAAATACATAATTCACTTATTTATTATATAAGATGGGCATAACAATACAAAAGTATGTTTATTAAAATATAGTACATTTTTAAAATACGAAAAATATTAGTATTATCATAAATAAGAAAATAACATTAATATAAATATTAGTTTTTTATTATAAAATAGTGATAGATGATAATATAGGATGATAATGCAATTTCATTCCGATCTTATTCTTTCTGCATACAAAACGCATCAATGACAAAACTTGTTTCATTCTCTTCTCATGATCATTTCATTCTTCAACTTATTCAATCCCTACCAAATTCCATTTCATTATACCAATCATGCCATAATAGTAATAATAAATAAAAGACAGAGAATGTAAATATATTCTTTGTGTGCGGATGCAGCTTCCCTCCGCGTGAGTAGCCTTTTTTTTCCGGACCGTGCGTGTGATGCTCTCCTCTGTTCCTGCTTCAAAAAACAATTTTGCTCCCCCAAATTAATGATGTTGCGTAGGTATCTCTATGGACGGCTCTCCAAAAATAAACCACTCCCTCAAAACCCAAGTCTTCCAAGTAACTGTCCAACAACTTAAAAACTCCACTTTTAATTTTTAATTTAGTTATTTGGCCTCTTCAAAACTTGGGCTGAAATCGTGGGCCCAAATCAAGTGGGTTAATAATCAATGTTGGGCTTAAACTTGGGATGAAATTCGGGTTGATATCGAGGAAGCGATAATTGATCACGTGAACTTCCGTTATGCTTCGCAACCATAAAATGCTTCCAAAATACTGAAAATAACACAAAAACCTCAAAGCAAATAAATTCATCCAAATAATAAATAAATAAAATATAAATGTGCGAAAAAATTAAGAGTATAAAACTACACTATTAAATATATAAAACGTGCACATTTTTTCGACCTATCAAATATTTCTTACAAAGTAATATTAATTTCAATTTTCTTATAGTGTTGATAATCAAGTAAATCGAAAAGAAATGACATAAATAGTCAACCATGATGTATTGTATAGTGTTGATTGATGTGCTTGGATATTAAAATTTTCGCTCAAANAGAGAACAATGTTCTATACAAATATGCATCAGCAAAATAACATGGAAGAGCAAAGCTTCCAAAAATGAAGAATGAGACTTTCCCTAGCATTGATAGCCAAAGGAACCAGGGTCAGTCTCATTCTCCCCAAGCCAATAATCTTTTCTCAACCAGAGAAAGTTGGCAGCACAAATAGCTAACCACTGATCCAAGGGGATCCTAGTGAGCTATCAAAAGACTACTAGCAACAAACAACTAACAAAAGAGATAAAAGCAGACTAACTAGCAGCTAAACTAGAGAATTCCATCCACTCTCTCACAGCAATTTTGACAGTTTCATATTCTGATCTGAGGGTGTTTTGAAAAACCCAAAGATTACGGGTTTTCGAAATCCACCACAATAGATATATTGTGAGTTGGATTTTGTCATCATTGATAGGTCTGAGGGGTAGAGAGCAGAGCTTCATCCACCAGGTTTTGAAGCATGTTTCTGTGTTTTGAGAGTGTTCCCATGAGATTGGGGAGAGCTTCCAGATAAGTTGTGCCCTTTTGCAATGGAAGAACATATGTTCTTGTGACTCCAGTTCCTCACTACACATCTTGTACATTGGATCAAATTGAACTCCTCTACTGTGAATATTGCATGCTACTGGGAGGATGTTGTTTATTCCTTTCCACACAAAATGCTTTAGTTTCCCTTGATTTTTATGCTTCAAGTTCTTTTCCTTGCTTTACTGAGTTCCATGTGGTTGTTGCTTGATTCTGCTAAGTCCAGTTTCCTCCAATTGGTCTCAATGAGCTTTTTGTATGTTGATACCACAGAGAAGTTTCCTTTGCTATTCCAATTCCATCATATTCTATCAGAAGAGTAAGGATCCAGACCCTCAATCTTTAAAATGGCCTCTGATTCATGCTTTGGGAAGCTGTCTTCTATAAGTCTTTTGTTCCATCTTCTACCTGTGTCATCCATAAGTTCTTTGACCCAGACTAAGTGAGAGTTGATGTGGTTCTTGCCAGTGGGAGTGAATCCTTGAATGTTTGGGACCCATGGGTGTTCCCAAATTTTGGTGGTTTTCCCATCCTTGACTTCAAATCGTAAGCCTTTGTGAAAAGAGTCCCTCACTTTCATCCAACTGCTTCAGAGCCATGAGCTATTGCGTTTTTGGTTAATCAGAGTTAATTGAAAAAAAACGTGGTATAGTTAATTAATAATAGGATTTTGAGTTTATATTAAAAAATAATAATTAAAGTTGATTTGAAGTAAAATAGAGAGAGAGAGAGAGAGAGATGATGTGAGGTGATGGTTAGTTGAAATTATATTAGTAGACGAATAATAAATTAAAGTTGATATGATGCGTAAGTGGTTGATATTATTTAATTATATTGATGATAGTGAGGTTGGGGTAAAAACTGAATTAAATTTTGAGTTGGATTGAGTGTGGAAAGAAATTTTTTGTATCCAAGCACACTCTAAGTTTCGACACTAGTTTCCGAACATTAAGCTTTTGTCCGGCCTTAAGACTATGTTCGGTTGACATCTACAGAATAACCACATACAGGCAACATAAGAAGCAATGTGAGGGAGAAAACTGAAAAGAAGAAAAGGAAGAAGAAACATTGAAGAGTGCAAGTAGAGAAGAGAAGTAACGCAAAAGTAAGCCAGTTTCCTTACCAAACTACATTTCAATTAGCAATAAAAAAACACATAAAAGAACATGAAAACAGAACCAATGTTGAGATTAAGCAATGACCACATTGCATTATTGTTAGCTATTTTATCAATGGAATTTTGCAAGAGTCAAAGTCAAATTACATGTTCTAAAATGGTCAACAACTGATTATGGTACAATTTTGTGGCCATACTAAGTGACTAGTAAACGCTGCACAAAAGTTGATGAAAAGAAGTTGAATTCAAGCGATCTATACACCACCTGGAACCAGCGTGTTGTGCATATTTCGGAATTTTTGTAGCCTTTTGCGCAATCTGAAAACATTAAATGGTCGCCGAACATTATCTACATCATCTTTGTAAGTTGAACCTATCAAAATTTTTGCTCTTCTCTTACAGAAGATGCTCGTAATCAATTTGCACTGTAACTCCGAATAAATCCTTTTGCGTGTTGGCTTTCCATTTCAAGGGTCATCAAAGATTTTTGTCGATGATATCTGTTTGTCTTTGAAGAGAGTGCTGATAAGGAAGAAAAAGTGGAAAAAAAAAACAATGAACAAATGAAAAAAAGCAATAAATAAGTGGGAAAACAGACTAAATCCTTGCAATTACTTAAAGTGAGTGAAAATATGACGAAAAAAAAAGAGATGCTTACCTATAAGTTCATGAGGTAGACCAAAGCCATAATCATTGTGCCTCCTCTTGCAGAAATAATATAATCCCAGCAATAGCAAAAATAAAATAACCATGCAAGATAGGCCTATTCCAACTTTGGCCCCTGTAGATAACCCGTTTTTCCCCCAAAACAATGGACAGTCGGGCAAAGAAGGCACGCCACACAATCTTTTATTGCGAGAAAGGCTGTCGATCAAGTTCGATTAGTTAGAAATGTGAAGATATGAGCAGATGGTAATAAGAATAAAAATGATTCATTAGATGAGAAGATATATAACCCTGCAAAATTATTTTACTTCACTAATTCAGTAGCTGTGTAATAATATAAGCTTCTTTATTTTTAGTTTTTATAAAGCATAATAGTTATTATGTACCAATTTTCAACATTACTTAATAGATACCCATAGAGGAAAACACGACTTACTCTATGGCTCCACCGTGTACCCCAATTGAATAAAGTTCCTCTGGAACTTGTCCTTCCAATGCATTATCATTCAGTAACCTAAGAAATATAATCCAGGTGAGAAAAAGAGACAAAAAAAAAAAAGAAGGTTGATATATCAATATTATGCTTGTGCACAACTATAATAAGACCAAGCTCCAAAACTTACACGAGTTGCAAACTTGACGAGGTTAGACTATCTGGTATGAATCCAGTAAATTTGTTGTTCGACAAATCCCTGCATTAGCGAAGCATGAAATATTATGAGAATGGCGTGTGAGGATACAAGATATGAATTAAAAAAAATAAATGCAAAATATTATTTGCTTATTCATGATCCTTTGTTTTCTACCACATGAATATATAAACCATATTGAACACCCAAAGATAAACAGAATTGTTACGCGAAGTATCTGACCATTAGATTTGGTGTGGTGCAGTCCAAATCTACCACAATGACCATCACAAAGTGAATAATGTTTTAACTAAATAGAGGGAAAATAGGAGCAATAGTATATGTGAACTTGATATTCACAAATCACACAAAATTATACTACAATCTTAAGACGAAAATTTTTGTGAGTTCATAAGATGGCAACCGGAGGAAACCAAACGTCTTCTTCAAGTGCTCAACCAATGGTAGCTGCTCCCGTCCAAGGCGAGAGACCATCGAAGTTCAATGGCTCTGATTTCAAGAGGTGACAGCAAAAGATGTTTTTCTACCTCTCAACTCTCTCCCTCTCTTGTTTTCTTTCGGAGACCCTTTGATCATCCCCGAAAGTGAGACTAACATATGGTCTTGGATGCTTGACCTCATAGTGATTTCTTGTGTAGAAATATAATACTTAACGGACTAGACAACACACTATATAATGTGTATAGCCCGGTTAAGATGTTTAAGGAGTTGTGGAACTCTTTAGAAGCAACGTACAAAATGGAAGATAACGGCACTAAAACTTTTATCGGTAAATTCCTTTAGTACGATTTGATTGACACAAAGTTGGTGGTTAATCAAGTTCAAGAGATTCAAATTCTTCATCATATGTCAGTTGAGGGATTGACTGTGAACAAAGCCTTTCAAGTGGCTACTAAGTTTGAAAAGTTGTCTCCTTTGTGGACACGACTTCAAGAGTTATCTCATGCATAAACGCAAAGAGATGAAACTCGAGGATTTGATAGCTCGTCTTTGGATAGAAGAAGATAATCAAAATCCAAAGTATTGGCCAAATGGAGCGAGATAGAGGCTAGGCAAACTTGGCCGAGCCGACCTCGAGTAAGAAGCGTAAAAATGCTTTTAATGGCAAACCAAGAAGGGAAGCTAAGATGTCCAAGGGATGTTACGATGGTGACAAACCCGGTACTTTGTCGAAGGTTACTAACTTCTGAATAGCGGTAAAGGGTAGTGCGAATTGTCGAGGACAAGATAATACTTGTCAGAGCTAGATCTTTCCGTCGTGGTTCAAGTACATACTTGATTAAAATTCCACTTTTATAGCGGATAAGAACAAGAGCCACTTGACCCATAGGCGCTTATAAATGTTGTTTCACAACCCTAATATGAAAGGAAGTATTTGTGGAATTACTCGACTTAAAATGTTGAAGGAAATGACAAGGTAGTGTGCTAAGAATGAATATTGGAGATCGTGGATGTTCTTCATGCTCAAGACATCCATAAGAATCTAGTTTTCGGACCATTAATTGAGTAAGGCCGAATTTAGATTAGTTTGTGATCATCGACAATATGTTATGTCAAAATATGATGTATTCTTAGCATAAGTAGACCTTAATAAATGTCATCTTACAATTACTGTCATCTATTGGTTGACGAAAAGATAAATAAGCTGTTCTTATTTATTGAGTATTCTAATTTATGGCATGATAAATTGGGACTTGTGAATTTTAACACTAGAAGTTGGTGAATCAAGAATTGATTCATGCAACAAATATGAAAATTGTGTTAAAATGAAAAAGTGACAAAAGCATCGTATGAAATGGTTGCTTAATTAACTAGTCCTCTCGAGATAACTCAAGTTTGTGAAAACTCGAGTCGAAAATAAGAATGCACAATGTATTGTCATAAAGCTTTTGTAGCTTTAAGCCACATATGAATGATGTTGATATTTAATAAAATAGTCGAAAGAAATATTCACTCTTTAGTAGGTGATAATTCTTGTTCGTAAGCTTGATTTAAGCTAAATTCTTATGTGAGAATTAGTTATTTCGACAAAATTGCAAACACCACACGAAGGTAGATACGAAACTCCTTTTATGTTATAAAAAGAGCAAAAGCATTCGTACCTATACCTTGAAATGTGGGAGTTTGTTCGGGCATGGAAAGCACCACACATAGGTAGATACGAAACTCCGTTTGAGTTATAAAAAGAGCAAAAGCATTCGTACCTATACCTTGAAATGTGGGGGTGTTCGGTCCAAGGTAGAAATACCTAAATAATGGAATGAAAAATTTATTGAAATGATTTTGTCGAATAGTTTCAAATTCATTGAATAACAAAATGAGTCTAAGAAGGTTCTTCCGACTCTTTGTGTCTTGTGATAGTAAGTCTTATGTAGACAATATGATGATCTTGGAATATAATCATGATCTGTTCATGAATACCAAGAAGATAAACTTTGACTTTTAAAGTTTGTGACATTCCAATGTAATTTTGGAGATTAAGTTTCTAATAAATCGGAAGTAATTGTTTGACACAATCTCATCATGTCAAATGTATGTTGAAGAGGATCGATGTGTTCGATAAAACCTCAAGCTAAAGAGAATGTATAATTGACTCTACACTTAGCTAATAATTCGAGAATAATTAGTTTCTCGGAAAAAGGTATGTTGAATAATTGGAGGCTTGAGGTACTTGTCGGATAGTACTCGCCCCAATGTTGCATTTTCGCGAGCAAACTAAGTTGTTCACGAGTAATTCGAGTGAAGAATTTTGATCATGCTGAATAGAGTATTAAACATGAAAAACTCTAAGACAAAAAGTGACTACGTGTTCACTTTAGCTGGGTAGAGTTGTGTCATGAAAATTATCTTAGTATAAAGCTAGATCCACAATGATGTCCAAGTTTATAAATTTGGACTAAAGGCGTGGAAGAAGCTAATGACTTGAAAATTTTCTAAAAGATATTCCTAGGTGGAATAAATTGTGCTCATGGAGATGATTATTTATCAATCAACAATTGGAAGAGCACAAAGTAGTTTGTACAATAGTAAGTCTAGACATAAACGTCAGAGACTTAATTCCAATAAGAAAATTATCTCGTGTGAGGGTTATATCGGTTGACTATTTGAAGTCAAAGATAAACTTAATGGATCCGTTTACATAAAGCATGAAACGAGATAAATTGTACAAACTGGTTAGGGAAATGAGCTTAATAAAAATCCACAATAAACGAACGGTCTTAGTGGTAACCCAACCATGAGAATCGGAGATCCCAAAACCTTGGTTCAATGGGAAAACTAAGTTTTGACAGTTCAGTGAAACACTTGAAAATTTTTGCTCATTTCTAGAACCGTCAAGTGTTAAAATCTGCCTAAGTGGTAAGGCTAAGTCAAGGACTTTTAATGATTTCTATACCTACGGGTAGAGTAAGGCAGGATACTCTTTATAGGAGAATCGCCTTTGTAAGTGAGAAGTAAATAGGCCGCTTCAACGAACACTTACTAAACCAAGATATGGTCCAAGGCCGAAATGGACACAACGTGAGAACAAGAAATTGTTAGAGCTGTTGTTGTGCGAGTACTATTGTCGTGGTGCACACAAACAGCCGTTAAGTTCAAAGCATCGCGCTACTAACCAGCTAGTGTATCCGATAGTATTTAACTAAGGAAGATTCAAAGCCACAAGCTATCTATCCTGATGCAATGACGGTTCGCCGGAACTCTCAAGTATTGCATACATGCATTAATTTCATTCATGTGGGGGATTGTAAGAAAAAATTGGTTTTGTACCGATTTAACGATTCTACTTTTCGTAAGTAGAAGACTTAGAAAATTCTCAAAACCTTTTTAAGGTGAATGAGAAATTAATTCTAAGTGTTATATGTTAATTAATTGAGTTCAAATAACTCAAAGGTTGTAGGGTTCACAAACATTCAGTTTTGACAAATGTTTGGACGAAGTAAACGAGTCATAATTATGCATTATGTATGCTAGAATTGTAGAAGAGCTCGTTGGGGACAAATAGGAAAAAACGGAACTCGATTCCGAGTCCGTATGAGCTCATACGAGCCCGCGGCGCACGGGCGCGCAACTGGCTGCGGAAATCAAAGGGTCGCAACCCTTGATGACCATAAGGTATCTTTTGGCCACTAGATGCATCCGTTCTCATTCGGGCACGTCCCAAAAGGTGTCTTTTGACACTTAAACCTCTTGGAGGTGTTTCCCTACATCTATAAATACCCACATACTTGAAATTATTAATATTATGAAAATTAGAGAGCTCTTGCATTAGTTTTCAAAGATCATATAGCATATTGCGTTCTTTGATTTTTTCATTGAGTCTTGAGGGTTTCAAACAATAGTAGTGTTCGCCGAAGGCTTGTATATTTGAAGTACCACTATACACAAGTCGAAAGTCGTTGTATCTTGGAGGCGTTTGCCTTTAACCGTGGGTATTTGACGGGACAATTTCGTCTTAAGGAGAACGTAATTATTACGTGCCTCGACTTTGATTTTTGTTTCGTTTTTTTCATTCTCCTTAAGCCGTCTTTTGATATTCACAAACCACACAAAATTATACTACAGAACTTACAGCTTCACAAGTGACTTTTGGCCCAATCCTGAGGGTATACTACCTCCTAGAGAGTTGGAACTCAAGTTTCTGTACAAAAACAGATATTCATTCATCAATTACGAATTTCTTATGGGAAGAAATTAAACAAAACTATCAACTAATGAACTAATCGTGATGAGATAAAAGAACTTTAAAAATAAACTTCAGTTTTAGATTGCAAGCAATGAAAATTGAGTATTTAAGTATATTACAAATGTACAGATGAAAATATACATACCAGTGATAAACTCATCAAATAGCACACAAACATTCATAGACTTACGATTACGTTTAAAAATAGTTGTTAATTGATATGGTTGCTGCTCGTAGATCATACAACATCTTTATTTCAAGCAAAACTTTAAGTCTTATATATGCAGGTCATCATGACATTACCAAAATACTCCCAGAAAACATTCCTCCTTTTTCTTTTTCTTTTTCCTTTTTTTTACTTCATTCATCTTTTCATCAAGCTAATTAGTATTACCATACTCGAGACTACCATTAATTGTTACAAGTAACATAAGCGAACAACATCTACGAACCAAAAGACAAAATAAAAAAAAAATTGATGTCGATACTTACAGGCTTACCAAGTTCGTCAAGAGGCCAATTTGGTCACTTATATAACCTTTCAGCCCTTGGCTCCCAAGATCTCTGTGGAAAACAAATTTATGCAGATTGCAGGTCGAATTAGATTATTTCTACAACAGCATATCAATACACTGTTGCACAGTCTCATCATAATTCCTAACCGTATCCTGCATGAATTCTCAATCAAAATACATAATATGAAATTTACGATGTTTCACTTTAATATTAACTCGAAAGTTCCAGGGTCGAAAACCTACACTTATTCCTTCGGCATTATTAGAAAAAACAAAAAAGAGAATAAAAAATAAAAAGAAAAAAACTTACATCTGGGACACAACAAGGTAAGATTCATCCTTTGAGGGGTGACAAGTAACACCTTCCCATGCATCCCATGTGGTAGGGGCACACGGATCACCATTCCAACCCATTCTTTCTGGCACGTGCAGAGATGCCTTTAATGCCCTCATTGCAACCACTGAAAAAAAAAACATTTTTTTTTTTAATTTAAATTTAAAATCATCACAAAAATGCATTTTGAAACTCTGTTTTCTAACTAGTGTGATAGATAACTCAACTTTCATTGACAAACATTTTTACCGATTTCCACCTGCAGACTTCATTCCAATCCCTGTATATCCCCTACTTTTTTTCTCCCTTCACGATTCAGACAGCGTGCTTATACAAACTAGTATTTCCGTTCGTGCACACAATTTGTATATAAAGTTGCTTGTTTAACAGGTTAAAAAGAAAGAACAATGATGATTTGGGATTTGGAGTCATCATTTGTTAGACACTACTAACTCACAAAATATGATTGAGTTGAGATAAAATTCCTTTGAAGCAATAAATCCATATTTAATAAAAAAAAAAAAAAGATCTTGTGACAAAATAGTCAAAAAAAAATTATCCTCCACTAATCCAGTGGACAGTGTTTTTCCATTGAAGAATTATTGCAGTTGTGAACTGTGATGATCATAACCCTCTTTTTCACAAAAGTGTGATGGGGTCAGCTTTGAAAAGTTCAGGTGTCAATTACCAAAAACCTTCTTTTTCTATATCACAACACAACCATCAAAAATCAATCACAAAGTTGCTGAATCAAAGTTCCTAAATTCCACACAAATTAATAAGCCTAAGATTATTCAATTCTGTGTTTATAAATCAATAAATCACACTTTAATCCCAATACAAATATAGAATATTAAAAAAGAATAAACAAATTAAATATAAACAACTGTACCCTGGTCAGGTGTAGTCCTGAGATCAACCTGCACAATGGCGTAATTTTCAAGCCCACAAATAACCGGCGACCCGACCACTGGCACTAGCCTCACGCTCAGAATCGTGCTGCTCAGATTCATTACCAGATAGCTCCAATCGTAGGCCGCAAAACCTCCGACCTCCTTGAACACGTCGACCCTGCTCGCGTTCTTCCCGTTCACCACCACATCAAAAACCCTCTGCCCGGCCCTCGTCACGCTGACGTCAATCTCCGCGAAATGGAATATTAGCAGGTAGTCCAGCTTCGCGTCCACCGGAAGCTCGTACTCCAGCACACCGCCACCGCCACCGCCGCCGCCGTGCTCGAACGCCGTGGCCGCCGTCTCGTAGAGCTTCGCGGGGAAGTAATTAGGGCTTCTCTCCACGTTTGTCACGTTCCTGATGGCGGAGATCGCCTTCACCGTCGCGCCGTTGGCGGCGCTGATCGATTCGCGCCGGAATTCGGAGCCGGACAGCCAAGTCCGGCCGAAGAAATCGGTGTCGTTGGTGAATCCGGGTCCCCACCGGCCCGACCCGGATGAGAACCGCCCGTAGTTTATGAGGATGTAGGCGCTGGAGTTGCCGGGGTGGTCGAAGGGGTAAGCGCGGGCGTCGATTTGGTACACCTCGAGGGAGCCGATGACCGGAGAATCGGTGGCGATGCTGTAGAAGCAGAGGTCCACGGCGGCGGCGTCGTGGTGAAAGAACAGATCCGAGTAGGCGCCGGATCGAGAAATCTCCGCGGGCCAGGGGGATCTCCATGAAAACACCAGCGTGCCCCGGACGGAGACGTCGAAGGAGGGGGAGTGGGACTTGCCGTCGAAATTGTCGTAGACGGTGAACGTCCTGAGGAGGTAGCGGCCGCCTCCGGCGCCGCTGGTTGGTAGGGGTATTGAGTAGCAGTTCTTCTTTCCGGAGGAGATGGGGAAGTGGCGGAGGGTCTTCTCCTGCTGGTGGACGAAGCGGAGGGGCTCGGAGACGACGGCGACGGAGCCTCCGGAGTAGAATCGGTCGGAGAGCCAGTCTGTGTGGAAGGCGTCGGTGGTGTCGACGAGGCCGCCGCAGTCAATGTGTAAGCTGTAGTCTGCAAAAAACAGGGAAAACACAAAACGACAAAAGAGTGAGCTGTAGCCATTATCAGTCGAAAACAGAGCAATTGTACTGCAGATGGTGGGCTTACTGAAAGGACTAGAGAGAGAAAGGCAGAAAGGAAGGAGAGAGAAAACGATGAGAAGGGGGAGAAGGGTCATCGCCAGTCAGTGGTGGTGGAGCTCTGAGTTAATGGCCGCTGCCTTTCTCTCCGTGTGTGTGTTTGTGAGAGAGAGAAAGAGAGAGAAGGAGAGTAAACAGAATGAATGAGGGACAGATTTGGAATTTGGGGAGGGAACACAACAAATTAGATAGAACTAATGTAGAATAGTGAATCAAGAATATATATGTGATTTTTTTTTTATTTTTTTTAATTGTTGATTATTGTTAATATTGCAAAAATCATATATGCGTGATGATGATAAATGCAGCAACGTAGGAACTTTTAATTTAGAAAATCTAGTGCTTTGGATGGAATCTATTTGATGAGAATATTAATGTATTGGGACCGAGATGATTGGCTTTAGTAAAATGGAATGAATTTGTTCTCTAGTATGATAAAAGTAAGTTTCTTTCAAAACGGGAAAGTTTTAATTAGTATTGTTAGATGATTTTATGCTTATCTTACGATTTTATATATCATAAATAGAATATTTAGAAAATAAGCTCAAAATTATTTTAAAATTAACGAAAAAAAAATTCAAAAAATTAAGTCTTTGTAACTCAAAATTTAATTAAATTAATCCAACAATTGTTAAAAATGTAAAGGAACAAATTCGAGCATGTAGACTTTGAATTTGTCACGCCCTCAAAATTTTGAGGGTTTTTGAGAGTTTCAAATAAGAGTAAGTGCAACAAAATTTTGTTTATTTATTTAAACTATTAGGTCGAGGTTCGTTTTGTGATTCGTTGTCATTCTATCCAATAGGTATCATCTAATAAGTTTGATTATGAGATCTAAAACGATAAATTCAAACCTTGAGACTTATAAAATGCCTACTTAGAGTTGTACAACAAAACAAGTCGTTTGTGAGTTTGATTCGTTTCAAATTCGAGCTTGTCTAAGACTCTTTTAACTTGATAAATCAAAATTTTATTAAATTTTCTTAATTATTATTATCATAATTCGGTTTTTTTAGACTCGCAAGTTTTAATGAGCCGAGCTTGAGCTCGAACTCATTTATCATCTCCTTAAATCAACGAGCTAAGTCAGAACTCAATTTAATAAGGGCTTGAAAAGCTCTATTGGGCTCGAATAGTTTATATGTCATTATAACACCACCAACAAGAACCATATTTTCAATTATTAGTGAAAACAATAAACACAAAAAATAAATGTGATTGGGCGCACTACTTAAAAATAGAATTAGTTTTTAGAGTTGCAGTGTAAATTTAATAATTAGAGTTATTTAAAAGTGACTTTTCTTTATGAAAATGAATAATTTGTTTGAAGACTTGTTTTCGAACGTATTTCTACTATTTGTTATTTAGATGTGATTATAATAGTACGTACCTCGTGCAATGCACAGAACAAAAATATTAAATGAGTTATTTTTACAGACTTTGTCCGTTTAAGTATATAAAGCAATAGTGTTATCATCTATTTTCAACCTCTTTTAATCAACGTTAAGTGTAATCAATAAGGTTATAATCTATTTTGCACCTCTTTTAAGCAGCGTTGTTTTTTTAGTCAAAACATTAAATATGAGTATGTTAGGGCTATCTTGTAAAATAATTAATATATTATCTCACTAACACATTTATACTAATATAAATTTGATTTTAGTATATATATTTATTCCTCGATATAAGAGAGAATAATAATTTTACTTATTCTTGTTTATCATATAATACTTAATTATTATTTTATTTTGTTGTCATATAATGTCATTATTATTTATAAAGTTATAGAAGTTGTATGTCTTCTTTTTTTTTTTTTATTTTATGTAAAGAAAAATATTTAATGCACGCTAGTATTATTTATTTATGTAATCAATTTAAAATATGCACATAAATTTAAAATTAAATAGTGTATAAATATTTTACAAAATATATACATGTTTTTTTAGGATTTAATTCTGTATACTAATTAAACAACTTTGATTTAGAAAGTGCCACAAACTCAATCCCTTTTATGATCAAGATTTTTCTAATTCGCATTATAAGGATTTATAGTTTATTTAGCATAATCTGAAATGAAAATATATTTTACAAGAAATTAATTATAGAAAGAAATTAAAATAAAAAATAAAAAATAATAATCATGGGTGTCAATAATATACAAATAAATTCTAAAAAATAGTTAATATATTTCAATTTTAATTTTTTACCATTAGTAAACTATTTAATGTATCTGGTCATTATCTCTTAAATAGTAAATTATATTAATTTGAAGAATAATTTATTTTTTATATTTAACAAAATAAAACGTAAGAAAAAATATATTGGCAACGATTAGTTCACCAACTTGATTTTGTCTGATTACTTGAAAAAAAAATCTACCTAACCTGTAACGATTTTCAAAGTTTTTTTGAATAAAAAGTGAATATTTGTGAAAAAAATTAATATTATGGTTAGAACTTAAAATATGGTGTAATATTTATCTTGACAAAAATTTATCAACATGGATCATGGAAGTCAATCTTGTAATTTATTATAATGAGTATCAATGAAAGTATTACAAATATTAATAAAATAATATTTATCTTGACCAAATCATTATCAACATGAATCACAAAAAATTAATCTTGTAATTTATTATAATAAATATCAATAAAAATATTGCATATATTAATAAATTTATTTAAGTAATTTTTTGATCATATTTTATTTGATCTTATTTGAAAACATGTACATGGAAGCAACTAATGCATATATTTAAAAATTTCCAAAAATAATATACATTAAATGTTTCCTAAATTTTTTACTATTATTTTTAGTAAATGGTAATTCTTATTATACATATAGATTTGATTTTGGATGAACTCCAAGGCCAACAATTAACACATTGTATGATGCAGCTATCTGACCTTACTGCAAGGAAAAAACAAAAAGGGTGAAAGAATTAAATTGACATTTATGAATCTGAAAATAAAATATGAGGTCAACTGCTATGGGGTGCGGAGTATCATTAAATGGGTGTCAAACTAGAGTAAGTTTATTATTCTCCTTCACATGTATCTGTATTCTATAGCTTTTTCCAACTAATAAAGAAATTTGAATAATTACTGAAGGTAGTAGCTAGTGCAACTTCTAAAATCACAAAAAGGTGATGTCATTTTGTCAATTATATTATCTATTGATAATATCAATACACGATATTCTCTCATATTTTTATTATTTGTCATCCTAGCTTAATTGATCATTTGTTAAATAAATATCGTTTTGACTATTTTGTACATATTTTTCTATTATTACCTTCATGTAACTAATAAATACACTACGTCTTTTCTCAAAACATCAATCTCTACCCTCATTAATGAGGGTTATTATTGGCAAAAAAAATATTCTTAATTATTGTACAACTTCTCGAAACGACATTTATTAAAAATAGGAGGGAGTATAATGCATAATAAAAAAAAGTTCGTAATGCTAAGCTCTATTTTAACTTTCGGTCTCACTTTGCCATTAAATTTATTTTATTCAAATATATAATAAATCAAGTTCGAACTTTTAGTCTATTGCATTTGATTTTGTATATACTATTTTCAATTTTTAGCGATGAGCGGCAGTTGAACTTGATTTGTGAGCCTTAACAATGTAATTAAGCACTTGGATGTGTTATTAGCAATTATGCAAAAATCGACCTAAATTCAGTATCAATTTCTATGGTTGGTGTCTATTTCCCTTTGGTTCGAAATATAGTGTTTCATTATTATGTCTACTAGAATTTCTTGGACAAACTTGCAATCATTGTTTACTTTTTAGTATATGGCACTACATTACATGCTTATTTGTACTATACATTATAATGTTTGTTAGAAACAACCAACTTTTTGATTAACAACAACATTGATATAATCCCATCTATATATATAATTTTCGAATACGCTGAATTTAAGTGGCAGACTCGCATGTTTAGTAATCTTATGTGGCAAATTTTCATGGTGTGTCATTTGACTTGAATGGATTTTAATTTATTATCAGTCCAAAAATTAATAGGCTTGAAATATTCATATATATATTGAATATTTATAATCATTTTTAAGAGCACTAATTATGTTTTCATATTATTTCTTATTCTAGACTAGTTTATAAGGCATAAGTTTTTCTCCAATCTTTCTTTTTTCTTCATCTTTCTTTTATAATTATAAAAAATTTACTAAAACATAAATTATAAATATGTTTAAAAGCTAATATATAGCTTTTTTACTTATTATCAACTTTATATATATAATATATCAAATTAATTATTTCCTGATGATATTCGATTTGACATTTGTATTGTACATAAAAGTAAATAAATAATTATATTTATATTTATAATAAAAATTAAATTTTGTATCAATATTAATTGTAGAAAATTATTTAAATTAATTTAACTACAAATTAGTTATATGATATAAGTTAAAAAAATTATTATAATATAAGATGTTAAGTCGTATAAGTGAAGTGTGTCATTTTAAATATAAATAAAATATAGTTTTAAAACAAAATATTTAAAAATTAAAACTTTTTCTTTAATTATAATTTTAAATATAAATTTCTTAATAAGCACTCATGTAATACACGAGTATTGTTAAAGCTGGTCAAAGCCACAGCCATGCATACGTGGAAATGCAAAGGCCAAATCATCATGTGGATGTGGAAAAACAAAAGAAAAGTCTGCAGCCTTTGTACCAGGTTTTATCACTTGATCTAAGAGATTCAGCTATTGCCACTTGTCATCATCCAAGCTAAAGGAAAGGATAAGGAATATGCTATAGAATATACCTTCTTTAGTTGCCCTAGTTTTTGGTTCATATATAAGGAATTCACTTAGCATTTTTGCTCATTGTATTGTACTGTTTATTGAATGAAAAGAACTCGAGATCTGTTTTCTTGCTAAGAAAAAATGGCACATTGTTATGCATTGATTGTTGAGCTCGGTTTGATTTATTACAAGTTTCCTTTTATGGTATCAGAGCAGGTGTTTACCTGACTCTGATATCCTCCTCTTTCTTTTTTTTTTATCATTACTTGCTCCCTTGAGGTTTTTCCATGGCAGATGAAAGCTCCACGAACACAGGCCCTATAACACAGGGTCAGGCCAAAACACAAACATCAAGACTCAGCCACCAATTGTTTATCCAGTCAGTCAGCTCATTTCAGTCAAGTTAGAAGAATCCAACTAGCTCATTTGGAAACAACAAG